ATTTGATACAAAAAATATCCGGTAATCCATTAACCAGCAAAGTGCACTACGGACTCTTAGTTGAATCATTACAATACATTCTCAAAACTAAAGGGTTTATCAAATTAGATGATACGAAAAACTACCAAATCATTAGCGGCAAAATGCCGGAGAAGTGATTAGTAGCTTGAAGTACATTGATAGCAGTTGGGTAATACACACTTACCTCCCGCAAGAGTGTCACTATTTGCTCAGCACTTTCTCCTCGAATCGGATAGGGCTGCGGTGGCCTAGTATTAAAGTTTCGGCCTTGAAGCAGGAGGGTTTGCAGGTTCGAAACCCGATTCCATCGAAGATCCGTCATGTATTGTGCCTGTTACACGTTAAATCATATACAGGGGAGCAAAAGTCCGCCTGCTGGTGTAGTGCAGAAATTTGGAGATTGGGGTGCCAGCTCAGGTGTCGTCATCTAACCGAAGTTCAAAATTATGAGGTCCATCCCAAAAATCCCCGTGTTGCTTCAAAACGGGACGTTAATATAACTAAACTAAACCTCGAATCGGAAAGAAACCGGAACAAAACTGGAGGTATGTATGTACTACCCAACTGCTATCAATGTACTTCAAGCCTCTAATCGCTTCTCCAGCAGTTTGTGTCGCTAATTATGTGTCCGACACAAATCGCATGTGCATACCGGCTCAAAGGGGCTACTACAAATTCCATCCAGTTTTGTTCTGAATTGTTTCCGATTCGAAGGAGAAATGCTAAGCAAATGTGTCGGAAAAGTCATTAGCGACATTCTTGCTCTGCGGGGAGGTATGTGTGCACTTCCCAACGGGTATCTCTGTACAGTAGAATGAATCCCAGGAATCCTAAATTTTGGATAATCCGAAAATCTTTTTTAATTTTCTGCAAAATATTTACTGAAAAATGAAGGGCAAATAATAATTACGAATCAGAAACAAAGCTGGCGTTTATTCCTAACTTGAAAAAAGTATTCGCATTGGTCTTTAAGAATGAAAACATCCCCTTCATTAATAGAAACACACCCAGGTTTCTTCTCTTCACCCTCAACTTGTTTGCCACTGTATTGAGCGAATCGCCACGTGATCTTTCCGTACGCCCTCACAGAACATCCAGTGTCAATGCTCTACTGCATTTGGTATATCAAGAGTACTTTACCGAATTTCCCGGATAATCCGAATTCCCCGGAATCCGAACAAAGGCCAGCCCCAATTAGTTCGGATTCCCGAGGTTCTATCGTATTTAACCTTCCAGCGGCCGCGCGTATGCATGAGATACTTACACTGTGCATCGTTTTACATACTTATATCGTTCTTTTATTAGTTTAAATGCAGATTTTAATTATATAATCTTTGTTTAGTGTAAAGCTAATAAATACAGGTTTACATAAATAAATTTTTGTGATGAAATTTTTGTGTTTTACATAAATAATTTTTTAAATATTTTTTTTTATTTTTGTGAAACAGCACGATATAAATATGTAATACGATGCAAGTATCTCCTGCATACAAGCGCCCTCTGGCAGGTTCAAGTCGCTAATCGCTTCTCCGCAGTAGTATAATTAGGGTGTGGCAGGTAGGGCACGTGCCATAGACGCAGTTGCCAGGGGGCGCAAAATTAAGGAATCAATTGATTGTATTTAAAAGAGAAGTAGACTTTTTGTAGCTCTTAATCCTAAGATTCTTAAAAATTTAAGTGGTTTCACCAAAGTGTGGGAAAATCTTAAGGATACAGTCATTTTTACTATCCGGAAACCTCAAGCTGCGACAAAATAACAAATAATATTATGTTTCAGAGATTTCCTGACCAAAATCCTAAACACGAAATTAAAAGCTCGATAAGGGAACATAGTTAGGAATCAGTTATCAGCACAAGGTTACTGATGGTTTATCACGGTATGTCTGCTTCATACTGACTGGATGGATATAAGTTTCTTCGGAAGTTGGTGATAAATGGTTCGCAAAAGTGTCATTCCTATTTTCAATCAGCATTCAACAAAGAATGAAGAACGGAAAATATACCTCCATTTTTTGTGTATTGTAAAAGCACTCCAGTAACTTCAAAAGATGCAAGTTCGCTATCTTTCATTGTTTTCAGTACTGAATATTTGCATAATTTGTGTGATGAAAATATGATATTGTTTGTTTTTAAATTTTATGTCGCAAAACTTAGATGATGTTGTTCTGCCAAACGCAAACAAACCCCCCCCCCCCCATAAAAAAATACTGATAGAGAGAGAGAAAAGACCGCACAAAGTTTTGCAATTGGTGGTAAAAATTATCAGTCCGTATTGACGTTGAAATCAAGATAAATGAAAGCGATTTCTTTAATAATTAACAAGAACAAATACATAAAGAGGAGAAATTCAATTCCTGCCGTAATGTGAAGCGTTTTTTTTCCTCGCTAAGTTACGCTATTGACATCAATTAATTTTACTGTTAACAAACACATGAAAATTTGCTTTGACTAACAAATCATTAAACTACCAACACTCAGCCTAAAATAATTATTTACATATGTAAATATGACAGTCATTTTTTTTGTTTGTAATCCTCCTGTTTAGCACATGTGCAAAAATTTTAGTACTAAAGTATTGGAATTATAAACACTTTTACTTCAATAAAAGTCAGAAAGGTTAATTTATAACATTTCGGATACACTAAAGCTTTTAAAATTTTTCAGAGATAATGCATCGTTTTTTTATGCACATAAATAATGTCTACGAAAATAATAAGGAAGTGCAATTTTACACGTCATTGAGAAATTAATAAAGTTATAATTTTAATCCATGCTTGAATCAGCATTTTTTACCCTGCAATAGCGTATCCCCTAATTTCATGCAATGAATTTTAACTTTGTCATAAGGTGCTAGATAAAAAAATTATTAAACTTTATTAGTGGTAAATTTTGATTAATGTATTTAAAGGTATGTATGAAATTATGTGATGAATCATATTATAAATATTATTAAATATATTTGTCACTAAGGCTTTTTTATGATTTTACCTGTGTTAGCAAAAGATTTACTTCAATGTTTAAAGTTTTGAAATACTATTTGTGGGCAAAAAGTAATGTACATAATAATAAATCGTATGTGTGTGGCTTTTTCCCGATTGATTAAGAGATTTGTACACATTTTAAATTATTTTTCAAATACGAGATAAATGGAATGCACCTTTTATTTATATTTTTGTAATATATCAAAAGTCTCTTGCAAAAAACTTCGATTTTCTAATTTCATCTATATTTAAGGAATGAAAGTTAGAATGCACCAAGTTTTTTGTAAAAATTTAACGAAATTTTGAATCAAAATTTGTAATGTGTAAATCCGATCAACTCAAAAATGTTTTATATGTTATTTTTTAAGTTTATTTGCACTTTAAATCTTTTCATTCCCCGGCATAAAGTGACCGAAAAGAAAATTAGGACCACATTTCAAAAGAAAAAAAAGGGGGCGCGCAGTTTCGATATTTGCCCTGGGCGCCATTTTATGTAGATACGCCACTGCTTCGCCGGCATTCTGCCGATAATGATTTGTCCGACACAATTCCACACAGTGTATCGGGCCTTAGCTAAGACATTTTTTCTAAATAGCTTAGGGATTCTCTTCAAAATACCGAATTAGTGATGTTTTATCGACTGCATTCCATATTCCTTGTTTTGAAGTTATAAAATGTCGCATTACCAATTTGATACTTTCATTTTACGATTTGCGGTTCACCGGCAGTGCGTGCCCCCCGAACCCCACAGCCCCGATGTTCTCAAACATATGAATATTTAGAGTCCAATGTTTACAAATTAGTCATGGAGCTAAAATTTCATCTAACACGTTTAAACCAATATCTTTTATCTTTAAAAACCTTACGAAGACTATAATAAAAGGCTATTAACTCCTTCCGGAACAATTTAATCATGAAAGAGCCACTGTGCATTTATAGAACATACTTCACTTTATAATTCATACATATTGTTAAATACTACTGATTACCCTGAAGATTCGCCGTTTATGTGGGCTTCGTATATGCTAAATCTGACGTCGTGAGTCAGACGTCCTTGCAGCTGGTGCGGTGCGGAAGTCTGGAGATGGGGTACCATCTCAAGTGTCACCCTTGTTTTCTGACAGCTGTTCAAAATTAAGAGGTCCGTCCCAAAACAGCCCTTGTGTTGTTTCAAAATGGGACGTTATATATAAATAAACGCTAGAAATAGAAATGTCTTATTCGGTCTTATGGAATCACACAACCCATCAAGCTTTTTACCTAGATGACGCTATTTCTTTTGATTTACTGATTACATTTATCAGTGGTGATAAAAAAATTTTAACAGGAGAAATATGCATTGTTAAAAACTAAGTTACTATCTTGAACTCTTATTTGCTACCAACGTTCCGTAATAAAAGAAATAATTTGCGAACACCGTGTATTTATTTTTACTTATCCATTTGACCTTCATGCAATAAAAGTGAGATGTAGAATTCTATGAACTCTCAAACGAGCAAACCTATTAAAAATCCACTCACTTTTCACTCGATTGTTTTGTTTATTCACGTGCCTCTATTCAGTGATCACCTGACGAGTGCAATCAGATAAAATATTCTTGCTTAATCATCTCGGAGACCAAGAGAATGAGTTATTACGAAGCTGAAGCAAAAGAGCAGTCGTGGCCGAGTGGTTAAGGCGATGGACTCGAAATCCATTGGGGTTTCCCCGCGTAGGTTCGAATCCTACCGGCTGCGTTCTCCTTATTTTCTCATATGCACTGATGATATATTGGAATTGTAAAAGAATTGTCCCCGTTTATCACAAAGGTAACTAATGTTATTTTACCGAGCAGTAGTGGTTAAGGCGATGGACTCGAAATCCGTTGGGGTTTCCCCACGTAGGTTCGAATCCTGCCGGCTGCGCTCTCTTTATTTTCCCATATATTCAGAGGATATATTGTAATTGTAAAAGAATTGTCCCGGTTTATCACAAAGGTAATGAATGTTACTTCACCGAGCAGCCGTGGCCAAGTGGTTAAGATGATGGACTCGAAATCCATTGGGGTTTCCCCGCGTAATTCCGAATCTTACTGGCTGCGCTCTCTTTATTTTCTTATATACACAGAGGAGATATTGTAATTGTAAAAGAATTGTCCCCCTTTATCACAAAAGTAATGAATGTTGTTTCACTGAGCAGTCGTTCTTAAGGCGATGGACTCGAAATCCATTGGGGTTTCCCCACGTAGGTTCGAATCCTTCCGGCTGCGCTCTCTTTAATTTCTCCTATACACAGAGGAGATATTGGGGTCTATTCTGGTACCCCCGGTTGGGTTGGGAGATGTCACTTTTCCCGTTGTTAACGTGCGGAAAAATTGACGTCTCCTGACCCAACCGGGGGTACCAGAATAGACCCGTAAAACGAAACTCAAACGTAGCCCTTTGCTTTCTATCAATAGGATGTTAAGAGGTTTTGACATACATACAAATAGCGTTCCTTAAATATTGATAGACTATCGAAGCCAAGTCGATAATATCGTGTTTTCGAAACTGTCGACTGAAACAATCGATAGTTTTCTCCCTGGCAATACTATCGATAGGCGCATTTTCAGTCGATAGTTTTAAAACTATCGACTTGAACTATCGATATTTTCAAAACTATCGAGTTAAACAATCGACTGAAACTATCGATATTTTCAAAACTATCGACTGGAACTATAGATATTTTCAAAATTATCGACTGAAACAATCGACTGGAACTATCGATAGTTTCTAAACTATCGACTGGAAGATTACCTATCGATAATATCGCTGAGGAGAAAACTATTGATACTATCGATAGTTTTGAAATTATCAATAGTTCAGTCGATAGTTTGAGAAAACTATCGACTGCACTATCGATAGTTGAACTATCGATGTTTAAAGAACACTACATACGAAACTGGAGCTGGAATTCGTTCTTTCGAGTTCCAAAAAAGTAACAATTTTAAAATTCTAATAATTTTCAAATAATAAATTGAGAAATTTAGAATCTAGCACAATTATTTTAGTTTTTAATCTTGTTCCTATGTCTCGTGTCAGTCATAGATCTTATATGTTTATTCACCTGAACATCTGGAAGTATTTTGTTATTAATAGACACTCAGAGAGCAGTCGTGGCCGAGTGGTTAAGGCGATGGACTTGAAATCCATTGGGGTTTCCCCGCGTAGGTTCGAATCCTACCGGCTGCGAGTTACCTAAATTTTTTTTGTTGAAATGGGTGGAAATAATTCAGAATTGGAAGAAAAGAAATGAAAGTAATTTAGTTTAAAGTGTTTATTAATAACCATAAATCAAATCTTGTTTCTGCGCTAGTTTTACTTGCAAATATTTTGCATTAGCAAAATATTAAAGGCATTTGACATAAATAAAATACCTCTAATATTTCTTCTTATTCATATAACAGCTATTAAATAGCATTTTATATTTCCCTTTAATAGTGAATATTTAGTGGTATAAACACTTTTGAATTTTTATTCGAAGGAAGATTAAGTTTATTGTAGACAGATATTGTAATTTTAAACTGTGGTCGGATGTTAAGGACGACACGTGAGCCCTACCAAATTTCAATGGCACATTAACTTATATGGGTATGACTGCAGATTTAACGTGTACCAGGCCAACACTCCCAACAGATATTTTAATATATTTATGTGCTTCTCTATCATTAAAATTTATCCTGACAATAATTAAATACAGAGGCTGTTCGAACATGTTTTAGACGATTTTGTTTTGCTGTAGAAAAAATTCGACTGCGTGGAAAAATTTATTTTCACAAGAGTTACATTTTTGAAACTATAAGTTATCATCTCCTACCTAATTTGTTTTGTTTACATGCAAAATGGGGCTTTTGAAGAAGCGATGGATGGGATTCTTCGTTATTCCTCTTTACTAAGAGATTTATTCTTATTTAGTTATTAAAAGACACTGTGAAAGCCATGATTTTTCGGTATCTTTTGTCGCGTTAGATAAATTATTAATAAGAAAGAAGAAAATTGTCTAAGTCTGGCTTCAAGTGGAAAACATTGTTCTAAATATCATAGGGAAGAAAGCAGTTCTTTGAATTTCGCAAAGGCGAGATCTTTATTGTTAAAAGAAAATCCTCCAAGTCAAAGATTTGTTTCAAAATCATTAAAATACTCAGTATCAACTGTAGAAAAACAAAATTATTAACACTGAATTGAATCTTAAAAATGAAAAAAAAAAAAAACAAGGATCATCGTCTTTCTCCACGTCATATCTCTGGATGGAGAATAAGCTGCAGAATTCTTTATGAAAAACATTTCTCCGTAGAAAAATGGAAAGATGTTGTAAAGATAGATAAAGCTTGGGCTTATTTAAATGACTGCAAAAATAAAAGATAAGTTTATTATTATCAGAGCGGAGGAAAAAAAAAATTAAAACATGGTTTAAAGAATCTAAAGAAAGTCTTGGATGAGATTCATGATTGTTGCTAGTTTTTCATATAATCTCAAAATCAAAGTAAAGAGAGTGGAATAAAAGATTAAGATCACTTCTACATACTATCAGGAACAGATTTTATCCCCAATCTTCAAATATGAAGGACCATCTCTTTACCCACAATGTCATCAATCAGTAGAACTGCACCAAGACAAAGCAAACAGTCACACATCACAATCACTATTAATTCTCTGGAAAAAATAGAACAAGAAATTGTATTAAGACTATATCCTTCACTGACAATTCTTCCAAATCTTCTGATGCATCATCCATAAATTTTTGCGTCCTTGAACTTCTAAAATGCGCATTAAATAAACATCGACCTACAACTCTTTATGGACTTTTGAAAGCTTTTCAAGACGAATTGGACAAAATACCGCTTCGATAATACAAATGCATTATTTTCATGGAAATTAAGTTCTAGAAAAAATGCTAATAATAAGGGTTTTCAAACTGAATATTTATTAGGTTAAAAAGTTTGTAAAATAGTTCTGTAAATGCCATAAAAATTGTCTGAAAATATGCGAACAGCCTCTGTACAAACTTATACCAAATATAGAAGTCAGAAAAAACAACGTGATAATAATTTAATATGTATTTTCTTTAATTTTAAGATGATGTAAAAATTATATCTTATGTTATCTCTGGAAAGCGTCATAAATGCGAAATCATATGTAACATTAATTAATAATTTTAAACTGTCAACGGAAAAGGCAGTTTGGGAAATTTTGAGATGGTTTTTCATCGACGCCAGTCGAGAACACTTGTTTGCATAACACAAGACACAATAATTTTTGACCTAAGTTTTGAGTGACGTCCCTTCGTGAAGTTACATGAAAATGTTTAGGCAATTTTGATTTTACGGGCTCTTTTTTCTCTTTCATGTTTTTAAAGATGAAATTTGGTGATTGACTTTTCTTTTACTGGTTAATGTTCTGAAGTTTTGCACAGTTTCATGTTTTCGATGACAACACAATATTTTAATATTCTCAGAACTGAATTATCATTTAATTTGTTAATTTTAATTATATTTCGATTTCATAAGGGAGAGCTATCTGATAGTGAATTTGTTAAAAATTAATTTAAAGGTTCCATAAAATTGATAAAAATGAATACATTAGAGACTAAAAAGCAGAAAATAATATAAGTAAATAACAATCTTAAAAAACACAATTTTATTAATGTAGTAAAAAAAAAATATTTTTTTTAGTCACAAATACGGAGCTCAAAACAAAATTGGAAAAGCTTGAGTCATTGAAAACAACACTATAAGGAAACTAAATCGGCACTGAATATCGCAATAAAAAAAAAATCCCTAAATATTTCTTTAAAATTTAAAAATAAGCGTATGCAATTAAAAAAATCCGAATTTCCTTAGAATCAGCATCTCAAGCCCGCACAAATTAAATATTTAGAATTCCAAATTTTTGATAGTAAAATTATTTTCTACTTTTTTAGCATATTTACAAAAGAGTATTTTTAAAAATATATTTTTTTCTCATACTAAAAGCGTAACTCTGTTTATGCGATACGCGATATTCACCAAAGCCAAAAAACTTATTAAAGTTATGACCCGAAAACTCTTGAGAATAGGCTGCATATTAAAACTTCCCTGAACATGCAATTAGTGGTAGGAAGCGAAGAATTCTAAAATCTTCATTTGTCATTCGATCGCTTGTTTGTACGTGTTTCCCTTCGAAGGCGTTTTCGACGTATCCGTCATAAGCTGGTACGTCATCCGTACCTCTACCGTTCGTACTCCAACTAATGAAGAATAATATAGAACGAATGGGGAAATTCTTGCCTATGGAATTCATTCTGTTTACGCGCACTTATATATATAATCTTGCTTAAACCATATTTATCGGGAACTTTTAATATAATTATTATTTTAATATCGAAATCGCAATTTAATCATTAATTTAATGCTATATTTTTGATTTCTAAAAGATTTGCAAGTTTCGCAATAAAATATTTTCAAAAAACAAGATTTTCGGCTTCACTGAATTTTGTCGCCTTCGATTTCATTCTTTTTGTATTTGATTGGGTACCGAATAGGTAATGGAGTCTCAATTCATAGGTTGTCGCAGACACACGAAAACCGTAACTGAGCATGTCATCTTACATCTTTACGAATTGGGGATCACAGCCTTTGTTGCTTCAAATCCCATAACCCCTCTATTTCAATCCTTACGAATTCCATCGAACGTAGAATAATCTTTCCTCGATTGAGAAGCTAAATTTGGTGCAAAGCTGGATTAATATTTACACCAAAAGGAGTGAATGATTTAGATAAAACATGATTAGAATTTAAATCAAAGGATCTTGCATTTAATGTCAGATTAGGTATAGTGAAACCTTAAGTTATGAAAAATATCTTTTTTTACTATTTATTAATATAATATATCATTATACAGTAAAAACCCGGTTAACCGAACTCAGGCTACCCGAAACCCGGGTTATCCGAAATACCTCTGAAATCGCAAATTCAAAACAGAAAAAATAGTATTGTACTGCACGGATGTACAGTCACCCAAAAAATTATTCGGACACCAAGATGAATAACACTTTATTCATCAAATAAAAAAAATATTAAAACAC